CTGCTGACACCACTGCTGACACACCACTGCTGACACACTGCTGACACCACTGCTGACACCACTGCTGACACACTGCTGACACCACTGCTGACACCACTGCTGACACACTGCTGACACCACTGCTGACACCACTGCTGACACCACTGCTGACACCACTGCTGACACACTGCTGACACCACTGCTGCACCACTGCTGACACCACTGCTGACACCACTGCTGACACCACTGCTGACACCACTGCTGACACCACTGCTGACACCACTGCTGACACCACTGCTGACACCACTGCTGACACCACTGCTGACACCACTGCTGACACCACTGCTGACACCACTGCTGACACACTGCTGACACCACTGCTGACACCACTGCTGACACCACTGCTGACACACTGCTGACACCACTGCTGACACCACTGCTGACACCACTGCTGACACCACTGCTGACACACTGCTGACACCACTGCTGACCACTGCTGACACCACTGCTGACACCACTGCTGACACCACTGCTGACACCACTGCTGACACCACTGCTGACACCACTGCTGACACCACTGCTGACACCATGCTGACACCACTGCTGACACCACTGCTGACACCACTGCTGACACCACTGCTGACACCACTGCTGACACCACTGCTGACACCACTGCTGACACCACTGCTGACACCACTGCTGACACCACTGCTGCACCACTGCTGACACCATGCTGACACCACTGCTGACACCATGCTGACACCACTGCTGACACCACTGCTGACACCACTGGACACCACTGCTGACACCACTGCTGACACCACTGCTGACACCACTGCTGACACCACTGCTGACACCACTGCTGAACCACTGCTGACACCACTGCTGACACCACTGCTGACACCACTGTGACACCACTGCTGACACACTGCTGACACCACTGCTGACACCACTGCTGACACCACTGCTGACACCACTGCTGACACCACTGCTGACACCACTGCTGACACCACTGCTGACACCACTGCTGACACACTGCTGACACCACTGCTGACACCACTGCTGACACCACTGCTGACGCCACTGCTGCTGCCACTGCTGCTGACACCACTGCTGCTGCCGCCGCTGCCGCCGCCGCCGCTGCCGCCGCCGCTGCCGCCGCCGCTGCTGCCACCGCTGCCGCCGCCGTGGCCGCCGCTGCCGAGATGTGCGAACGACTAGGCTTTTATACTGGTGATGCCTGACGTGACCAATGTGCTGGCGTCACTTAGCGGAGCTGCGATGATTGTAGCGTCCATGGGCGTGCCCAAGATCCCAGCTGTGTCAAGCAAACGCGCCGAGAAGCCAAGCCAATGTCGCTCTTCGCTGAGGGGGTGGTCCCACAGCAAACCACCGGTGATCGCCACGTGTGCGTCCGAACTAGAGATCGCGAGGCACTGGACACGAGCGACAAGGCCGGCAATGAAATTCAGGAGCTGTGCAAACAAGAAGATGCATTTAGGCAACATGCCGAGGCTGCTGCTGCTGCTCCTGCATTGCCCACATGGTTATTCATGATTATGCAACCAGTTCTTGCATGCCTGTGGCACTGGGATTGTTAATGTAGGCAGGCTGAGTTTGTAATATTCTAAAGCCTCAGCATTTTGGTGTTATATTACATTCAAATATTTTATGAATTCAATTACGAAATTCGCTCACAATAAGTTGGCTACAAATTAAGCAACCAAAGTCTGTGTATATTGCCCACATTAAAGTCACACTGCCACAAGCCTCTAGGCGGAGCCTGACCGCTACAGAGCGTGTTCTCGGATGGCGGATAGAAAAAAGGCTTGCAATGAAGTGATGCTAAGCAGCTTCTATTAATAAACAACACTGGCACTTGTGCCCGTGGACCAACAGGCAGAAAATACTTATGACAACAGGAGTCTCAAAACTGCTGTGGTGGGCAAGTTGAAAGTTTCAGGTGCCATTTTTTAAACTCTTTGATTTATCTGTTGTTTTTTTTCGTCTGTTTCCTTCATCTTGTACAGGTCCAGTACATTGTGGACTCACCATGCTGTGAAGTCATCAGGAAGTTGAATGATGCTGTCTTCTTCCAGCTAAATTATGCAACTACTAAGAAGGGGATCAGAATTCTATTTTGTAGCAGTTATTCTACAAATACATGTTAGTAAAATTTTTCTTGGTTGTAGTAGTGTCAATGTGTATTCATAGACCATAACATTACATAAGACAGAAATTCAAGTGCACAGCAAAAAAAGTGCTGCTATGAGCACCTCTTATCAATATAAGCTGGTCATTCTTAATTTTGGTCTTTTATTTATCGCAGATCAAGTAGCAGCGATTGCTTGGTTTACAGGCTGGGAGAAAATTTATCTCCCTTTCTTGCACGCCAAAGGTTGCTGGCAGTGAAACAGCGTTCTCAGCATTTTGATAGATACATTGAAAATGAACGTGAAAACGACGGAGGAAAAAGACAAAGGCGAAGTACTGAGTCTTTCTCATCTCGTGTCTCTGTCGTGTTCGAGGCCGTTTTCCAAGAATCCATAGTTTCCAACTCGACCTTACTGATATATTGTGAAAACTTTCTAAAAACATGAATCCCCGAAGTTAGGTATAAAACTTTCACATGGAATGCATCGATTCTAGCGTCCACAGTTGAGCTATTGCAAAAGTTTGATAAGTCGCAATACACGTAAAAGCAAGTATGGCCAAGCTTCACTGCCTTGTAAAAGCACTGCGGTAAAGCCAGCGTGAGCAGAAAAGCATTACATGATACGAAATGAACGCATGCACAGGCCACTTGTGCATCAAACAAATATAAGCATTTGCCACTGCTCAGGTCAAATATGCATCTTGGTGCGTCTTTTTCAAATAGACAAAAATACAATTACCAAAAGATGATTAAGCTTCACTGCATTGCGAAATCATTGCGGTAAAGCCTATAAGTAAATGACGTGCAGCAATCAAAGGATATATGCCTTATTCATCGTACCCACCTGTTGGTGTATTAAAGCTGCTCACATTTGGCAGGCTATTCTGTGAGTGAGAGGCAATACCTGATTTGATAATAGCTGTTACATTTCATTAATTGCTCATTTTGGGAACTATAGCTGGTTGATAGCAAGTTGAATTTGCATGAGTCCTTGAGTAACTTAGCCACGTGCCATCTTTGCACATGATGTCTTAGCTGTCACAGAGTTATATAGATAGATTGACGTGGCGTGGCTTTGATTGCGGCGCGCAGGGATTGTTTAGGTTAACTGCTGCAGATGGGGGATAAATATTAAAAATCTCGTGGTACGCGGTGCATGTGGTCAGGCACGCAGGACTAATTCTAATGTAAGGCTCCTGCTTACGAGCAGCGAAGTCTGCGATCTGCGCCGATAGACAAGCTGGATGGTGGAAGAAAATTACTCTCTCCCACTAAAGGGACCAAAGCATAAGTGTGGAGCAGCGGCTGCTAACGCTTACACAGGCTGGCGCCGTTGACGCTGGCTCTCATCGCGGCGTTGCGCAGATCAACCTTGGGGACGAGGCGCTATCACGCAGTGATGGACCGGTGTTTCTTACGGTAACATGCCAATCACTGCTAATGGGTGAGAGACACAAGACTCTTATTAAATGCAGAGAACCCTCAGTACACTTTAACTAAGTATAACGCGCACTCTGCTCATTTTTAATTGTTTCAACAACGCGCAAGAGAAATCTATCACCAGCAACTACCTTGGAGGTCATATCCAGTGCCTAATACGGGGGTGGCCCGTGAACGGTTGTGCAGTGCTAGCCGTCTTTTTTTTTATCAAGGAACTCGCTATCAGATGCTGCTTGCGTCGGTGGTGCAAGTCAAAAGAAGAGGGAGTGTAGGAGAAAAGAGAGACGGGGAGGAAACGCGCATGCGCAGCAAGGGTGGACACGCCGCACACAGCATTGAACTCGACCATAACATGCTTGGCATCTAAAATGGCCCCAGTGTACGAGAGAAAATTTCTGAATCTGCAGTCGAAGATTTTCCGCCAAAGAAATGTGTTGTGTTCTGGGGTTTCGGTTTCGGAATGGCATGTGAGGATGCCAGGGGGCGCCGCTCTGGCATTTAGGATTTCAAGGCGACTGTAAAATAAAAGCAGTGTGTGTTGGGTAACCACGGAGTGCGGTTGTTGTTGTTCTCTTCGCTGTTAAACCACGGCGTACTCTACTTCGTCAAGCACAGCCTTTTAACTGGTCAGCTGAAGCTGAGCAGAGCTTCATTCGAGTTAAGTCAATACTGGCCTCAAAGTCAGCTGTTAGCATTTTCAATGAGAAGCTTCCCATCGTCATCACGACGGATGCGTTCGATGTTGGACTGGGAGCAGTGTTTCAACAACTCAGAGGTGATCAGCTGATCACTATCGCTTTTGCATCTCGTACATTGACCCCTGCTGAACGCAGATATTCAGTAGGAGAGCGTGAAGCTATCGCGTGTCTTTTTGCCTGTGAGAAATGGCATGTTTACTTGTGGGGCCGGCACTTCCCATTACGTACAGATCACCAAGCACTAGTGCTCTTCTTTCTGCAGGATCCGAAGGCCGCCGCCCCATTCGCATTTCCCGTTGGTGTGCCAAACTCATGTATTATAATTTCAGTGTCGATATTTTAAGGGTTCTAATAACGTGGTTGCTGATCACTGTCGCGCCTTCCTCTTCAGATACCGGTTACTGAAGAGCGGGATGAGGAAGTTGTTTCATTAGTTACTTCCTGCATTACTAAAGCTGAGCTTCAGGCAGCTACCGCTGCAGATTCCACTTTGCCTCAAGTTCTCAAATATTTACGTGAAGGATGGCCTTCCAAATGTGCTCTTGCTCCTGAATTCTTGCCTTACTTCGCAGTCCGACAGGAACTGTCTTGTGTCGAGGAGTTGCTTTTCCGCGATGAACGCGTGATTCCCCCTGCTTCTTTCCGTAACAAGCTAATACAGCTTGCCCATGAGGCCCATCCAGTCATTTTCCGCACCAAACAGAATCTCCGAGACAAGTGCATGCTGTTTAGAACTGCTATATATGTCAGGCAGCTGACAAGTCTGCCAAACCTGCATTTTCTCCGTTGCAGCCAGTCCAGTGGCCTGATCGGCCTTGGCAGAAACTCGGCATGGACATCATCGGTCCTTTGCATAATGTTCCGCAAGATGCCCGTTCATTGTTTCTCTCAATGACTACCATTCCAAATGGCCAGAGCTTTGGTTTCACACAATACGGTTACTTGTGAGGTCATCATTGAGTTTCTGTCTTCAATCTTCAGCCGGGAAGGTTTTCGTGATGCCATAGTTACGGACAATGGTCCACAGTTTCAGTCTCAATATTTCCAGGCATTTCTTTCACAACGAGGAATTCAGCACTTGACGTCATCAGTTTTCTATCCCCAATCAAATGGGCAAATCGAGCGCTTTAATCGCGTTTTAAAAGAACATATCTAGATCGTGCAATTAGAGCACCTTCCACTCAAGCAAGTCTTGACTGAATGTTAGCTTCGTACAGTTTCACACCACAAGCACCACTGGAGTGTACCCTGCCAACGTCTTCCCACGGTAGCAACCGCGGAGTTGCTCCGACATAGTCTCTTTGCCTCGTAACATAGCGATGTCTTCTCCTGATCAATCCGCACCAGGGAGTCTTTTCTCATCACAAGCAATGAAAAAGTATGTCGACACCCGTCGAGGTCCAAAGCAGTCCAAAGCTCGCACTGGCGATATAGTCAAGGTTCGTGTGCCAGGCAAGCGTCCCAAGTATCGGGGTCCTTACAAAGTTTTGGGCCAGGTTAGCCCCACTTCGTTTCGCTGAAGTGATGGTAACATCTGGAATGCTTCGCGCCTTGTTATTGTTCATGCGGATTCACCTTCAACACCTAAAAGTCTTCCCCATCATGTTCCGTCCGCGCCTTTCCACTATTCATCAGATTATTACATGTGGCCTCCATGTACAGGCATTTCTTCTTCAAGGGGGGAGGAGTTACCAGTCGGTGTCGCTGGTTCAAGTACACCAAGTCTTAGGTTTCACTTCGAACCTTCAAATACGGTTGAGACCGTTGAAACCGGACTTCGGCCCGCAAAATTCTTCTGAAGTTCATGCTGCGAGCTCTGATAAAACCGCGAATTTTAACGCTCGTTCAGAGCCTTCACAATCTTCGACTGCTCTTGATGTGTCACATCAGAGCACAAGTGACCAAGGTGCAGAGACCCTGATTCTACCTTCCAAAAGGGCCCGCCCTAAGCGGAAGCGCAGAAGCCGTGTCGGTTCGAAGACTACGTGACGTAAACTCTTGTTCATTACTGTTCGTGAACATTATTGTTGTGTGCAAGGTCCAATGCATCCAAATCAATATTGTACTGAGTTGTGTACATTTTTTTTCAGTGGCATTTTCAGGACTACCATTGTACATTTTCAGTGCATTTTCAGGACTCATAATGTGTGAGTTCGGTGTGCCGTGCTCTGAATTTTCATGTGTTCTAATGTACATGCCTTGTAAAATATGTGGGTATCGATCATTTATATATATATACAGTGCATAGGTGAACTTTTTTCGAGGAGGGGATGATTGTTGTGTTCTGGGGTTTTGGTTTCGGAATGACATGTGAGGATGCCAGGGGGCGCCGCTCTGGCATTTAGGATTTCAAGGCGACTGTAAAATAAAAACAGTGTGTGTTGGGTAACCGTGGAGTGCGGTTGTTGTTCTTCTATTCGGCGCATCGTGCCAACCCGCGTGTTCGGGCTGGTCGGCGTCCCCGCCAGCCGCGTACGTCTCCGTCAGCCGTCTGCTTCTTCTGCTTCGTTAAGACCAGCCGGCCCCCAACACAGCAAAATGTAGACTGCAGACTCCAGATCACATTACCGGCTGCCATTCGGTTCAGCACATTAAAAATATCAGTTAATTTACATG